ACTTGAAATTCCTTTTGCCTGGACAGCACTTCCCTTCGTTCTGTGCTTGTCTTATACTCCTCACTCCCTCTGTCCCTACTATATCACCATATTTACTTTATTCAGAGCATGTATTTGATCTAAAATTATTTTGTTCTTTGTTTTTGTTTTTTTGCTTACCTATTTATCACCTGATTCTGTTTATTATAGTATAATCTCTGTGGGGGCAGGGACCTTGTCTATCTTCTTCATCACTCAATTTCCAGTGCCTAGCATAGGATTTGACATGCAGTAGGCACTCAATAAATATTTGTTGAATTAATGAATAGCTTTACTACAAACTCTTTGTATAGGTGTTAATGATGCTTTCCTTTTGAGCAATTTAGTAGGAACACTGACATTAAATTATCACTTTTAGAATTTTCTGAAGATTCTTAAAAACAACTGACCTTATTACGAGATGAGAGTATTTCCTTTTTAAATACTTCACTATTTGTGGAATGATTATACTTCCCTATTATCAATACAGTCTTTTGCCTGTGGATATGCAATCAGTTCCTTCTGTGGAAAGGATTCAGCTTTTTATTCAATACTCATCTTTTTATTTGTGGTGCCCTTTACCTGTTGCTGTTGTTATACTAGGCTTTTGGGCCCTATGGTTCAGATTCCTTGCTAATGTTCTGAATCTCTTCTTTTCCACCATCTAACTTTAGTTCTGACCCTTATTCCTCAAACTCTTTTCAGAATTCTAAGCCTACTGTTTGCCATTTCCATATCTACTTGATCCCCCATTCATAGCCTCTCTACCCCGAGTATCTGTTTTCTTAAGAACAGTATGAGAATCTTAGATCCATCACAATGATAAGACCACTTGTAGCTGGATGCAGCACACAAAAGACCAGGACAGATGTGTTTTATAAGGCAAAGAGCTAGACAAAGGAGCAAGATCATGGAAATGCTCTGGCTCCATTGTCCTGTTGAGTCTACCTGCCAAATATCTCTCAAATCCATCCACACCTCTCCATTTCTGTTGTTATGTATGCTTCTTGTGATATTCTCAAATCCTTTCACTATCATATATACTTCTATAATGCTTTTTACACAGTTATGATGTTTTTATAATGCTTTTAAGCACCTGTGTATAAGTCATTTCTAATGTGAAATTAGAAATAGAGAATTTCTGAACTTAGAAATAGAACATATATATTCTATAATGTTCTCTAACCATTAACTGTAAATCATTAAAAAATCATTTTAACCTTGAAATAGATAAAATATGTCATAAATAACTTTCTGAAATTGGGCTGTGCACCAGACTCTGTGAGAAAGGAATGTAACATCAATCAAATCTCTATAAATTAACAAATCTTAAATATGTTACTAAACAACTTCCATAATTTTTAATAAATTAACTCAGCCTTGAAACTTTATGTAGTAAACAAGAACATAAATATGTCATGCCCTAATTGGCAACAATTTAAATTTCTATAAATTAGTAAAACATAAATATGTCATACAACAATGCCCTTAAACGACAATAAAACAAACCAACAATAATTGAGCATGACAGCACACAGGGTATATACACCCACGGATTTCTGCTCATTTTCTGAGAAGACAGAAGCAAAAGTTCACTCTGACTCCATCTGAAGACTGAGAAGCCTGCTAAGATACTGCTTGCCACAACCGACCTCATACCCTAGCTATGGGGAACGTCCTCTGAGTTTGAGGGGTGGTCAAGTCTCCCACCCAGACTACTCGTTAAAAGTAAGTCTGAAGTCTAAAGATTTGGACTCTAACATTTAAACTAATGTTATGGATTGAATTGTGTACCCCAAAAATATGTGTCAACCTTGTTAGCCATGATTTCTTATATTGTGTGGTTGTCCTCCATTTTGTGATCTGATGTAATTATCGTCTATTTTGTGCCTAACCTCTATATGTAATGAGACAGGATTAGGGTGGGTATATCTTGAGTCACCCCTCAAACTCAGAGGACGTTCCCCATGCCCTTACTCAAGTCACACCCTTACCCTTACTCAATTCACACCTTTACTTGAGTCACATCTTTTATCTTACAAGAGATAAAAGGAGAGAGAAGCAAGCAGAGACAGGGGACCTCAATACCACCAAGAAGAGATGAGAGTGGAGCACTTCCTTTGGACCCAGGGTCCCTGGGCTGAGAACCTCCTAGAACAGGAGACACAGAGAAAGAGAGAGAAACAGGGGAAGAGAGATGCCAGGCCACATGAAAATCTCTCAGGAGCAGAAGCTGAAGAAACAAAGACCTTCTTCCAGTACCAACAGAGAGAGAAACACTTCTGCTAGAGCCGATGCTCTGAACCAGACTTCTAGCCTGCTAAACTGTGAGAAAATAAATTTCAGTTTGTTAAAGCCACCCCCTTGTGGTATTTCTGTTATAGCAGCACTAGATAACTAAGACAACTAACACTGTAATTGTTAATCCTGATTCTCCAGTGCTAAATGAATGTCTTGTCTTACTTGTATGCCTTGCATGACTACTTGCAATAAACTAAACAAGTTTCTGCAGCACTCTATATTCATTCTTAAGACAAAATCTTCCAGGACATCTGCTATCAACATTCTAGACTAAAGCACCATAAATTTTAACATAGAGTACTGCGAAAGCCTTCTAAGTGATATACATGCATCCACAATTGTTACCCTCCAACTCATTCTCTACGTTGTAGCCAGAGTGGTACTCTAAAAGAAAGCTAGATCATTTAAGATAAATTAAAATTTAAGAGTGTCTTTTAAAGAAGACAGAAATCATTGGTGTGCTTTGCATTTCACCTCTCATCTCTGCTCCACCCTACATGGAGAAGCTGGACAAAGTGCATCTTTCATATTAAGCTAAGAAGAGCTTCAAGGGAATTATAAATTGAAATATGCCTTTTGGAGTTTGAGGGACTTGCCCATTAACCCATTGCCTTTGAGTCGATTCCGACTCATAGCGACCCTATAGGATAGAGTAGAACTGCCCCATAGGGTTTCCAAGGCTGTAATCTTTATGCAAGCAGACAGCCACACCTTTCTCCTGTAGAGCGACTGATGGATTCGAACTGCTGACCTTTCGGTTAGCAGCCGAGTTCTTAACCACTGTGCTAGCAGGATTCCCTCTTGACAGACATAGGCACTAGAATTTGACACATTCCTGAGAAAGACAAAGGGTGGAGACAGATTAGACATCTAGGATTAGACACATAGGCAGCAAACAGCACTATACCAAGTGAGGCAGTCACCATCATCACATAAGACCTGGAGCTCCAAAGAGCAATACTTGCAGGGATTATTCCAGGAAGAGAAACTTAATTGATGGAGAGAAATATGAAGACCCCATTCCCTTGGCTCTGGGTGGAAAAGGGATAAAAAAGAAGTCCCTAGAGCGAATTTCTAACCACAAGTCTGCTCTCAAATGAGTTTAGGGACTAAATCTACAACATCTGTGGGGCCTAAAAATTCCCAAGCTCAAAAAAAAATTTTTTTTTTGACCTTTAAGCTTTTTGACAAGCATGTGTTATCTTTTTTTAAACTGTGGTAAATATATATATAACAAAACATTTGGCATTTCAATAACTTCACATGTACAGTTCAGTGGCATTAATTATGTTCATGTAGTTCAACCATCACTCTTATCCATTCCCAAATTATGTCATCACCCTTAACAGAAGCTCAGTGTCTCCTAAGCATTGAATCCTCCTTTCCCCCTCCCTCCTACCCACCCCTGGTAACCACGAATAATCTTTGGTCTCTATATACTTGCCTATTCTAGATATTTTATATAAGTGGGATTGTACAATACTTGTCCTTTTATGCCTTGTGGGTAGTAAGTGTTAAATAACTATTTGTGAAATAAATGAATGACTATCTCCCTCTTCCCTGCTTGACGCTCTACTACCTAGATATCTGCCTTTGACCTATTGCTGACCTCTTAATTCTGGGCTCCCAAATCCTTGACTTCCCACCTAAAGTCCCACTTGGGTTCCAGTTCTCTGATTCTGCTCTTGCCGTTTCCTGCCTTTGTGGTTGTTTTTGTTGTGTGCCGTTGAGTCTATTCCTACTCATAGCGACCCTATATGATAAGAGTAGAACTGCCCATAGGGTTTCTCAGGCTGTAATCTTTACAGGGAGAGCCCTGGTGGTGCAGTGATTAAGTACTGGGCTGCTAACCGAAAGGTCGGCAGTTCGAATTCACAAGTTGCTCTGTGAGAGAAAGATGTGGCAGTCTGCTTCCATAAAAATTACAGCCTTGGAAACCCTACGGGGCAGTTCTACTCTGTCTGATAGGGTTACTATGAGTCAGAATAGATGCGATGGCAAGGGATTTGGGCTTTTTCTTTTACTCTTTATAGGAGCAGACTGCTAGGTCTTTTCTCCCACGGAGCGGATGGTGGGTTCCAAGAGCCTGTCCTTTGGACCCAGGGTAAAGGGTCCCTGTGCTGAGAAGCTCCTTGATCCGGGAAGACTGATGACAAAGATCTTCCCCTAGAGCAGACAGAGAGAGAAAGCCTTTCCCCTGGAGCTGGCACCTTGAACTAGGATTTAGAGCCTCCTAAACTGTGAGAGAATAAATTTCTCTTCATTAAAGCCATCCACTTATGGTATTTCTGTTATAGCAGCACTAGATGACTAAGACATCTGTCATGAAGCATTCCGTGCAAGATGGCCCCCACTACATTAGATGTGTTTATCTCTAGACATACGAGAATTGCCCTGTAAGTAAACACTATGGATAAGCAGAATCCAGTGTGGCCCAGACAGGTTAGATGCCAATATAACAAACACACATTTCTATAACTTGGTCTGATGGTGCTGATACAAATGTTTTTAAAATTTGGGCATAATGCAAGACAACTTGTATTTGGCCTTGCATGGTGTCAAAAAAAAAAAAAAAAAAGACTTAATTTGACCAAGAAAATTACTCAAAAAAACAGGGTTAAAATTTAGAATCTATACATCAGTGTGTAATTTAAATAAGTGTGAGGCAAAGCACTAACTACCTGTAGTGTAACACTTTTCCAAAGTGCATATTGTTGAACTTCTTGGTGTGTACAGTTGCCGTTGGTTCATTCGGAGGTACATATGCATAAAAAATCATTTCATTTAAGGAGATAAACTGCGGAGCAAGTGCAGTCTCAAAGCCCATATCAAGATCCTGGAATATGAAAAAAGGAAATACTGTATTTAAGCTATTTTATATTCCTTTATGACAAATTGCAAATAGTAGATTTGTTTCCAGTTCACATCAAAACAATATTGTTTTCCTTATCAATTGGAGTAATATTCCAACCTGTTCTGTTTGAATATCATGTATTTGCAAGGGAAAATGTATTTTTGTGTTGAGGAGGAAAAGAAATTCTGATGACTCAGGATAAGATTCTTGTGCTCTTTGTAGAAGTCTGGAGTGGAAGGATGTATGGAGGCTTGACACCTCCAGCCACCCTCTGTTAGTCCTGTTGGGGGCAGAAGTCTGGGGGCCCAGATTCTAGAACTAGGTTCTTATTAGGAGTTCCATTTAAGAAAGGGGTTGTGAAGTATCTCTCCTCTCTTGAAAGCTGCCGCTCCTAGTCTAATGCTGGCAACTCTGCATGCTACTGTCTAACTCTCCTGATTCAGGTTGCATATTCCTTTCTCATTTCCTCTGATTCCCAAGGCTTTCCCTTGCAGTCAACACATGCATCTTTGGCCTAGATTTCTGATCCACGTGTCTTCTTTTCAATATACCCTTCTCCTATCCTGAGCCTATCCAGCTTTGGGAACTTTTAGGATGGAGAAGAGAGGAAGGTACCATCTCCAAAGGGGATGAGGGGTTGACCTTGTTGCTATGAGATGAGGAGTGGGTGGTAGATAATGCAGACTGGTTGGGGACATATCCATTAAACAGTGCCTTCAAGACGCATTTTCTGTCATGGCCTTTTTCCTAGTCTTTTAAATTTGGGAACCCATTGAGAAGGGAAGTGCATGGGAAAGAGATTCCAGGAGAATATATGTAGGGCAATACAGAAGGCTTGAAGACTCTTGAAAATTACTAAAAAGGCTGAAAATCATTTAGAATTCTAGCCTGGGGGGCTAGCAAGAGCATCCCATGAAAAGTACATGCAAGTCAGATGAAAGGCAGTATCGTGGCTAAAAGCACAGGCCTTGGAGTCATTTGCCTGGGATAGATGCCTTATTTCATAACTTACGAATTGTGTAATTTTATGTGAATTATTTAGCCTCTCTGTGCCTCACTTTCTTCCTAAGTAAACAGAGATAAAAAGTTGTTGTAAAGACTAAGAGCTTACAACGGTGCCCGGCACATAGAAAGAGAAGTAAAGGTCAGCAATTGTTTTTATTGAGAGAGTATGCATGTATGGTTTGTTTGGGGAGGGCTGGGTGATATTGTTGACTGTGAGCTCCTTGAACTCATCCTGAGTATGAAAGTTCCTGTGCACTTTTGATTTCAGTAACTTAAATTTTTACATAAGAGAACTAAGACATTTTCTACAAATTGTGAGGTCAGTGGAAAGTTGAGGTAACTGCTTTTTTGGTTAGTTCTACTCTTCTTCTCACCTCACTTGTATTTGTAGAGAATCTCCACCACAGATTCAGGCATATGCATCATACTTTCATAAGGAAGTTCCCACTCCTTCCTGTCTCCACGTATCTCGGGCAGGGAGAGCTAAAACATCATCCTTTTAACCACAGTCTTGATCTGGTAATACTGGAATGATTTTTAAAACTAGGTTCATCCTTTGTTCTATTTCCCTTAGGTCAAAGGGCAGGTTTTATTATAACTCATTCCCTTGCAGGGAATCTATTTGAGTCTTTGCTGATGTATTGCTGAGTATTAATTTTCATGACTGTGTATGTGCCGAATGATGAGTTCTTAGGCATATATATCTTCAGAAGTGACACATTATACATTAAATTTATTATAAAAATTTGTATCTAGTATCATCTGTTAAAGAAAGAATAACTCTTTTCAGTCCCTGATGGAGCAGGAGAAAAGTAGGGTGCAGAACTCAAATCCTAGTAAAAAGACCAGACTTAATGGTTTGATTGAGACAGGGGGACCCCAGAAGACATGGCCCCTGGACTCTCTGTTAGTCCAAAACTAAAACCATTCCTGAGGCCAACTCTTCAGGCAAAGATTAGACTGGACTATGGGACATAAAATGATACTTGTGAAGAGTGTGCTTCTTAGCTCAAGTAGATACATGAGACTAAATGGGCAACTCCCGCCCAGAGGTGAGAGAGGGTCAGGAGCTGGTTGAATGGACAGGGGAAATCTGGGGTGGAAAGGAAGAGTGTGCTGTCACACTATAGGGGTCACAAAACAATGTATGTATAAATTTTTGTATGAGAGACTAACTTGAATTGTAAACTTTCACTTAAAGCACAACAATAAAAAAAAGATAATAACTCTTTTCTATGTTAGCATTAGAAGAGGAAGGAACTATGGGGCAAGGTTAATAGGAAAGAGTAAAAGTAAAGCAGTGAGAAACCCAGAACTCATGTTCCACGGTCAGTTTTGAAAGGTAGAGAATCAAACCCACTGTGAACCTGGATTGGGAGTAATGGACCCCAGTTACACTATTTGATGGTGTATTGCTGTGAAGATGTTTGCATGAAGATATCCTGGGTGGAATTAAATCTATATAACCCTGGATGGGACTTGGAAGAAGATGTTGGAGATGCTTCTTGGCATACAGAGGTTTTTCCTTTAGTTAAGTAGAGCAAAGAGAATTAGTAGGAGCTTGTCCCAAAGAAATTACCCCCATTATTCTGTATATAGAATGTGACATTTATTCTTAAGACAAACTGTTTCAATGCATTATATCACTGACCTTGACAAAAATAGCTCTAGAATTTCCAAGAGGTGATAGTAACTCATCAGCTTCAAAATGATCTGGAGTCAGTTTATGTATGAATCCCAAATGATCATAGTATAATGTAAAAATTTTCTCAGTAACAGATCCAATCGCACTATATGTTTTTAATCCTATAGGAGATAAACAGAAGTCTCTTGATATTGATGTAACACAACTAGAAAACTTTTAATACTATACCTAATAAAAATTCCTTCATTTTGACTAAAGGGTAAGAGTAGGCTCTGAGACCTCTGAATTAGTAAAATACCTGTTAGTCTTTGTCAAGTCCCTGGAAAGCCTTTTCCAGGCTCCATAACACTACAGAACCTATTCGCTGAAGTAGGTGAAGGACAGAACAGAGTGAGAGGATGCTTACTTAAGAGGTCTAGAGAAAAAAAGTTTAGCTCCCCCTGGCAGTGATTTCTCTTCCTAATATCAGCAAATCAGACTCTTGCATAGGAAGAAAGCAATGAGATGGGCATGGGACTTACTATTAGAGACCTCATTAGCTCATTAGCTATCTCTGCTACAGTGTGCAATTGCACTTTTTACCATACAGATATCAATTAACACTACACTGCTTTATAGTACCATCTTTGGCATGCATCAAGTGCCCACATATGTATAGGTCTATTCTATTGATATATATGAATATTCTATTCTGTTCCATTGGTCAATCTCTCTAGTTCTGCATAAATGCCTTGTTGTCTTAATTATTGTGGCTTTATAAGAAGACTTGGAGCCCTGATGGTGCAGTGGTTAAGAGCTACAGCTGCTAACCAAAAGGTTGGCAGTTCAAATCCACCATCCCCTCCTTGGAAACCTTGTGGGGCAGTTCTACTTGTCCTATAGGGTCACTGTGAGTCGGAATCCACTCAACCACAACAGATTTGTTTGTTTTTTATATACGTATCTGGAAGAAGTTCTTTACTTAGTTCTTCTACAGGAATGCCTTAGCTATTCTTGGACCTTTACATTCCACATAAATTTTAGAATCAGCTTGTAAATTCCACAAAACAAACAAACCTTCTGAATTTTCATTGGATTGCATTGAATCTATATTTCAGTTTAAATGGCCATCTATAAAATATTGAGTCTTCCAATCTAAGAACATGATATAGCTCTTTGTTTGAATCTTCCTTAATGTTTTTCACTAAAGTTTTATAAATTTCCCGGTACAAGTTTTGCACATCTTTTGTTAGAAATAATCCAGGTGTTTGGTATTTTAATGCTATTTTAAATGGCATATATTTTTTAAATTTTATATTTTAACCATTTGGTTAAAATGGTAGTATGCATACTTGTCCTGCTCCTGATTACAAAGTAAAAGCTTTTAATGTTTTTCTATTAAAAGTTATTGGGTATAGGCTATAATTTTTTTTTCTAGATAATCTTAATCAAGAAGTTACCTCCCATTCCTGGTTTGTTAAGATGTTTTTATTTTTTTAAATAATGAATTGGTGTTGAATTTATTAAATGTTTTTTTCTGCACCCATTGATATGATCATAGAATTTTCCTCCTGTGATCTGTAATAGTATTGCACTGATTTTCTAATGCTAAACCATCATGGGAGTCTGATATAAATTCAACAAGATCATGATATAATATCCTTCATGTATATAGCTGGATTTAGCTGGCTAATTGCTTCTTTAGGATTTTTACATCAATATTCTAAAGGTTTTTGTGCTTGCTATATCAATTACTGAAACAGTTATATTAAAATCTTCCACCATGATTGTGATGTGTGTATTTATCCTTACAGTTGTATCAATTTTTGCTCCATGTATGTTGAGATCATTTTGTTAGGTACACACAAATTTAGAGTTGTTATGTCTTTCTAATGAGTTGAACTTTTAATCATTAAATATTCATCATCTCCCTTAGATTTTGAAAAAATTTCACACCATGTATTTCTTTATGATGTTTGAAATATTTTATAAAGATCATATATTACTTATAAAAAACAAACTAATAAAGATATTTCTAAAATCTTGAACAATACAGCTTTACTTTTAACACCAAAATTTTAAAAAGACCACTGAGACATGATAAACAACCTTACAGGACAGAGGAGAACTGCCTCTTAGGGTGTCCAAGGCTGTAATCTTTACGGAAGCAGTCTGACACATCCTCTTCCTGCAGAATGGGTTCGAACCGCTGACCTTTCAGTTAGCAGCCAAGCGCTTAACCACTGGGCCTCCAGGGCTCCTTTGAGACATGATACATACCATTTTCAACACATAGGGACCCTTACATGTTAACTGGCCTAAGTAGCTCTTCTGCAGGCCCTGGAATGAAACTTTCCCCCCATCTTGGGCACATAATTGACCTGCTTGTAAATATGTCAAGGAAAGGGGAATTCAGCCATAATCTTCTTTTGAATTGTGGTAAAGTATGTTGTTGTAGTTGTTAGTTGTCACAGAGTTGAATCCGATTCATGGCGACCCCATGTGTTACAGATTAGAACTGCTCCATAGGGTTTTCTTGGCTGTAATCTCAGTGGAAGCAGATCTCCAGATTTTTTCCTCGCAGCTACCACTGGGTGGGTTCAAACCACCAACCTTTAGGTTAGTAGTCGAGTGCAAAACATTTGTGCCACCGGGGGACCTAGTGGTAAATTATATATAACATAAAATTTACCATTTTAACCATTTTAAAGTATACAATTCAGTGGTCTTAAATACAAGGAGCCCTGGTGGTCCAAAGCACTAGGCTGCTAATCAAAAGGTAGGCAGTTCAAACGCACCCATGGCTCTGCAGGAGAAAGATCTGGTGACCTGCTTCTGTAAAGATTACAGCCAAGACAGCATTAATCCAAAACACACAAAATAATGAATGTTGGAGAGGTTGTGGAGAGACTGGAACATTTATACACTGTTGGTGGGTATACACTGTTGGTGGGAATGTAAAACGGTACAACCACTTTGGAAATCGATTTGATGCTTCCTTAAAAACTAGAAATACATGTACCATACGATCCAGCTATCCTGCTCCTTGGAATACACCCAGAGAAATAAGAGCCGTCACATGAATAGATACATGCACACCCATGTTCATTGCAGCACTGTTCACAATAGCAAAAAGATGGAAACAACCTAAGTGCCCACCGATGGATGAATGGATAAACAAATTATGGTATATCCACACAATGGAATACTACGCAACAATAAAGAACAACGATGAAGCCGTGAAACATCTTATAACATGGAGGAATTTGGAGGGCATTTTGCTGAGTGAATTTAGTCAGTCACAGAAAGACAAATATTGTATAAGACCACTATTATAAGAAATCAAGAAAAGGCCTAAACACAGAAGAAAACACTCTTTGATGGTTACGACGGTGGGGAGGGAGGGTGAGGGTTATTTACTAACTAGATGGTAGATAAGAATTATCTTAGGTGAAGAGAAGGACAGCACACACTACAGGGGAAGTCAGCACAACTGGACTAAACCAAAGCTAAGAAGTTTCCTGAATACAATCAAACACTTTGAGGGACAGAGTATCAGGGGTAGGGATCTGGGGACCATGCTTTCAGGGGACATCTAGGTCAATTGGCATAACGAAGCTTATTATGAAAGTGTTCTGCATCCTACTCTGGTGAGTGGCGTCTGGGCTCTTAAAAGCTTGCAAGCGGCCATCTAAGATGCATCGATTGGTCCCAACCACCTGGAGTAAAGGGGAATGAAGAACACCAAAGACACAAGGAAAAGTATTAGCCCAAGAGACAGAAAGGGCCACATAAACCAGAGACTTCATCAGCCTGAGACCAGAAGAACCAGATGGTGCCCGTCTACCACCAATGACTGCCCTGACAGGGCATCCAGAGTCCTGGATGGAGCAGGAGAAAGGTGGGGTGCAGAACTCAAATTCTAGTAAGAAGACCAGACTTAATGGTCTGACTGAGGCTGGAGGAATCCCAGAAAGCATAGCCCCTGGATTCTCTATTAGCCCAGAACTAAAATAATTTCTGAGGCCAACTCTTCAGACAGGGATTGGACTGGACTCTGGGACATAAAGTGATACTTGTGAGAAGTGTGCCTCTTAGCTCAAGTAGATACAAGAGACTAAACGGGCAGCTTCTGTCTGGAGGTGAGATGGGAAGGCAGAGAGGGTTAGGAGCTGTTTGAATGGACGTGGGGAATCAGGGGTGGAGAGGAGTGTGCTGTTACAGTATGGGGAGAGCAATTAGGGTTGCATAACAATGAATGTATAAATTTTTGTATGGGAAAAAAAAAAAGAAATCTCCAAGCTTACCCAATAATTTATAAAAGTCCTGCTTGAGCACTATTCTGGGAGACTGTACATCTGAAGTTAGAAATCCCCTGCCTGGTAAGTTGTTAATTTCAGCTTTGTTTTACAAAATTGATAGTTTTATTATCTTATGAATACTTGACAAAATGAACCAACAAATTAATAATAAAAATATAAGAAAACTATAAAAACTCTTAAAAGAAAACATAGAAGTAAATCTTTATGACTTCGAATTAGGCAATGGTTTCTTAGATACGATACCCAAACACAAATGACGAAAGAAAAAATAGATAAATTGGACTTCATCAAAATTAAAAATGTTTGTGTTTTAAAGGACACCATCTAGAAAGCAGAAAAGAATACCCTGAGAATGGGAGAAAATATTTTCAAATCATTTATCTGATAAGGGACTTCTATCCAGAATATATACTCTTGAAACTCAACAATAAAAAGACAAAACCCAATTTTGAAAAAAATGGGCCAAGTATTTGAATTTCTCAAGAGAAGATATACTAATGGCTAATAAACACATGGAAAGACGCTCAACATCATTAGTCATTAAAACCGAAAAACCAGTTACAGTCAAGGGTCCTACGACTCCGACTCACAGAGACCCCATGGGTACCAAGAAGAACTGTGCTCCATAGGGTTTTCAATGCCTGAATTTTCCGAAGTAGGTGGCTGGGTCTTTCTTCCGAGGTGCTTCTAGGTGGGCTTGAGTCTCCAACCTTTCAGTCAGCAGCTGAGTGTGTTAACTTTTTGCACTACCCAAGGACTCATTAGTCATTCCCCATTGTGTAAGTCGCTTCTGACTCATAGCAACCCTACAGGACAGAGTAGAACTGCCTTATAGGGTTTCCAAGGAGCGGCTGGTGGATTTGAACTGCTGACCTTTTGGTTAGCAGTCATAGATCACTGTAGCTCTTCAGGGAAATGCAAATCAAAACCACAGTGAGATACTATTTCTCACTCACTAAAATAGCTAAAATGAAAAAGATGGACAATAGCAAGCGTTAGTGAGGAAGGGTATGGAGAAATTGGAATCCTGATACATTGCTCGTGGGTGCATAAAATGGTGCAGCCACTTTGGAAAGCAGTGTGGCAGTTCCTTAAAATATTAAGACAATAGAGTTACGATGTATTCAGCAATTCCACTGCTAGATATATATCCAAGAGAATTGGAAGCATATGTTCACAGAAAAACTTGTACACAAATGTTCATAGCAGCATTATAGCAAAAAAGTGGAAACAACCCAAATACCCATAAATTGATGAACAGGTGAACAAAGGCCACATATTGTATGATTCCATTTATATAAAATGTCCAGAATAGGTAAATCCATAGAGACAGAAAATAAATTAGTGATTGTCAGGGGCTGGGGATGGTGTGTGGAGGGTAATGGAGAATGACTGCTAATGGGTATGAGGTTTCTTTTTGGGGTGATGAAAATGTTATAAAATCAGATAGTGGCTATGGTCAACAACTCTGTGGATATACTAAAAACCTCTGAATTGTCCACTTTAAACGGTGAATATCATGGGACATGAATTATAGCTCAATAAAGCTATGATAAAATAGTAATATTGTTGTTATAATGTCTTTTTGGAAAGTAAAACATGACTGGAATTTGTAAATAAGAACATAGCATGATGATTCAGGCTTTTCCTTCTTTAGGGTTCGGCTGTTCATAAGGTTCTACTTCTGTAGAGCCTAGAAAACCATCAGCTCTTAAAGGTTTGAGACCTTAGGATTAGTTGTTTAATGAGGCATATTTTACACATATCTTCTAATCCCTGGCCCACATTTAGTGTGTAGACCAAAAAAAGTCTGCATTCCTCACCTGCCTTTGTCAAGTAAACCTTTCCACTTTGGGAAACAAAAGTAATATCCGAACTATAAAAACTGTGATAAGACCTCCTTATGACATCACCATGAAAGTCAGCTATTAATTCAAAAGTGTTGCCGCCATCCATTGAAAGCCATACCTAGAGGAATAAAAAGATATCTCACTGAAGAGCTGCTATGTAACAGTCAGCAATTACCTATTAGCCTAATTTTTCTACATGAGAAATGTCATGTAGCATGAGAATATGTTAGAGTTTTCCTCATACCCTCACATCCATCATGCACACGCGCACACACACACACGAACCAACATGTACAGACTCCTTACCTACTTGATCTACTTTCTATTTCCATCTTAGGCTTTGTATGACATTGTATGTGAGAGAGCATCAGGTCTCCGCAGGATGCATGGTGTTTATGTACTAAAGAACAATTATTCCCAGTATCTCCCAAATACGGTTCTCTTATTCAAAAACGGATGGAGTGTTACGTGTATATGGATTAGGGGGAGGGATTTTACCCCCATATTGATATGAGACTTCATGTTCTAGGCATCTAGGGAAGTTTTTTTTGTGTGGAAGTGTCCCTTGATTTTTGCAAGCGGCATGTCCCAGTTAGTACTTTTTTCTTGTTTTAAAAAGTTTTTCCTTCCCTGATTTCAGAAAGGTATTGACTTATGTTTTCCTCTAAAGGATTTTATATTGAAATTATTAACCTATCAGGAGTTGGGGTTGATGTATGTTGCAGCACAGTGATGCATTTCAATATTTTCCATATGTATAACCAATTCTTCCTATTCCATTTTGAATAGCTCTTTCTTTTCCCCACATCTGCAATGCCAATTTGGTCTCTATGCACATTCTAGATATGCAAGGGTCTGCTTGTGGGCTTTCTTTTTTATTCTGTTCATCAATTATCATTATCCTAATTGGTATAGCTTTACAATAAATGTTAATATGGTGTAAGTCTCTCCTTAATCTTCTACCAAAATGTGTTGGCTCTTCTTGGTCTTTTGTTTTTCCACTTACATTGCTAGAATCAACTTAAACCTCATAACAAATCTTGTTGGGATTTGATTAGAATTGCATTAGATCTACAGATTAATTTGAGGGAGAATTGATATCTTTAAGTCAGTAAGTTTTAACTGTCCTTTGGTACAGTTTATAATTTTCTACATTTGGGTCTCAGAAATTGTCTCAGTCATCTAGTGCTGCTCTAACAGAGATACCACGGTGGATGGCTCTAACAAAGAGAAGTTTATTCTCTCACAGTCTAGTAGGCTCTAAGTCCAAATTCAGGGTGTCAGCTCCAGGAGAAGGCTTTCTCTCTCTCTCTGCTCTGGAGGAAGGTCCTGGTGATACATCAGTCTTCCCTTTGTCTGGGAGCATCTCAGCGCAGGAACCTCAAGTCCAAAGGACACACTCTGCTCCTGGCACTGCTTTCTAGGTGGTGTGAGGTTCCCATGTGTCTCTGCTCGTGTCTGTCTTTTATATCTCAAAAGAGATTGCATTAAGACACTATCTAATCTTGTCAATCTCCTCAGTATAACCTCATCACAGTGATAGAATTTACAACACATGAGGAGATCACATCAGAGAACACAATCATACAATACTGGGAATCATGACCTAGCCAAGTTGCTACACACATTTTTTGGGGGACACAATTCAATCCATGACAGAAATCATCTATAAAACCATCAGAGCCTTACTGAGAATTTTAAATTACTGCTTCAATATTTTTAAAGTTATAATATTACCAGGTTGTTCCTTTCTGAGTCAGTTTTTAAAAAACAAGTCTTTATTGAAGAACATACAAAAATAACAAGTGTATGGTCAATGAATTATTACAAAGCATACCCACCTATGTAACCAGATCAAGAAATGGAAAATTACCAGTGTTCTAAAAGCCCTCGGTAGCAGATTAATTACAAAAAGATGACCAGTTATCCACCTTTTCCTATATTCTCCCATCCAGAGGTGATATACCTTGAATCATGGCTGATCTTGTGACTTGGTTTGGTCAATAAAATGTGGTGGAAGTGACAGCAAACTAGCTTCAAGCTCAGGCCACAGGAGACCTTGCTCACTTCTGCTTCTTGTCTTGGAACACTGAACAATTCCAGTTGAGCTGGCTGTATGATAAAGAGACACAAGGCCTAGTGATAGCAGAACTGCTTAGCCAACCCATAACCAGAGGTCAGCAACCTTTTTCTATAAAGGGCCAGGTAGTCAATATTTCAGGCTTTGCAGGTCATGGCGATTTCTGTTGCAACTACTCGACTCTGTCGTAGGACAAAAGCAGCCATAATGATACATAAATAAATGGAGGTGGCTGTGTTCCAATAAAACTTTATTTACAAAAGTATACAACAGGCTAGATTGGGCCTGTGGGCCATAGTTTGCTGACCCCTGCCATATAAGCAATAACAGATGCACATTGGTTCATGTTACTTGCTCTTGGAGGGATCTGTTATGCAGTAAGAGCTGACACATTCACTTTCTCCTCTCCTGGTCACTACCCCATACTCCTTTCCAAAAGTAACCAGTAACTACAGAGTAGTTTTGATTGTTTTTGAAATGTGTATATATGGAATTATACAGTCTATATTCTTTTGTGTTTACCTTGTTTATGGACATATTAGTTAGCTTTTGCTAAATGGCAAATCACCTCAGAAGCTTAGCAGCTCGAAAAAACAAACATCTATTTCAATCAGGATCTGCTTGGCTTTTTTTCTGATCATGAGTGGGCTTAGGTGATCTCATTTGGACTCTTTCACCTTCTATCTTACAATGGCAGGTCAGCTGGCGGCTGGCTGGTCCCAGATGGCCTCACTCGTATGTTAGGAAATCGCCTCACTATAGGCTGGGGAGATGGGCCATGTGTCCCTCAAAATCCAGCAAGCTAGCCCAAGTTTGTTTACATTGCAGCAGTGTTCCAAGAGCAGAATAAAAGAAAGCAAGCCCCAGTGTGGAAGCGTTTTTCAAATCCATGCTTGCGTCATTTGTAATTGCCCCATTGACCAAAGCAAGTCATATGGCAAAGCTCAGAGTCAATGTGTAAAGGAACTACCCAAAGGCATAGACAAAGGGAGATATGAATGAATTGGAAATATTTGCTGCAACAATCTGCCCTATAGTGAGATTAATACATGATGTTGTTGACAGCAGAATTTTATTCATTTTCACTGCTGTGTGGTATTCCATTTATGAATATACATAATTTTTTAATCTATTCTACTATTGATGTACATTTAGGTTATTTCCATTTTGGCTATTACTTAATAATGTTTCTATTAACATTATTGTAAATGTATTTTGATGCAAATATATACTAATTTCTTCAGGGTTTTCATCTAGGATTGAAGTAGTTGTATCATCCCATCCCATTGTCGTCGAGTCGATTCTGACTCATAACAATGCTATAGGACAGAGTAGATCTGCCCCCATAGTGTTTCCAAGGCTGTAAAACTTTACAGAAGCAGACTGCCACATCTTTTTCCCATGGAGTGGCTGGTGGGTTCAAACTGCCAATCTTTTGGTTAGCAGTCAAGCTCTTAACCACTACGTCACCAGGGCTACTTAGTTGGATCATAGGATGTGCATATAATCACCTTTAGTGGTCACCATCAGTTTTTTTATATATTTACACCAACTCACATACCTAACAGTATTGTCTGAGAATTCTCATTACTACACATTCTTGCCAACACCTGGTATTGGTAGTATTTTAAAAATTTAGCCATTTCAGTACGTGTTTATGCATTGCATTGTGATATAATTTGTATTTCCCTGATTGTTAGTGTAGTGTTACACCTTTTCATATGTTTTTGGCCATTTGGATATTCTCTTTTTTGAAGTATCTTTTCAAGTTTCTTTGCCCATTTTCTGTTGGATTGTCTTTTTCTTGCTGGTTTGTAGAAGTTCTTTATATAGCTAGCTTTTAAGTACTTTGTTGGATAAATTTATTACAAATATCTTCTCCCACTCTTTGGCTTCTTTTTGAATAGAAGTGCAGTGGTTAAGAGCTTGGCTGCTAACCAAAAGGTCTGCAGTTCGAATCCACCAGTCACTCCTTGGAAACCCCATGCGGCAGTTCTACTCTGTCCTATAGGGTCACTATGAGTCAGAATCAACTCGACGGCAGTGGGAAGTTGTAAAGGATTTTATTTTACTTGGATCCATCATCAACGCCCATGGAAGCAACAGTCAAGAAATCAAACGATGCACTGCATTAGGCAAATCTGCTGCAAAAGACCTCTTTAAAGTGTTAAAAGGCAAAAATGTCACTTTAAGGACTAAGGTGCACCTGACCTAAGCCATGATGTTTTTAATCACCTCATATGCATGTGAAAGCTGGATAATGAATAAGGAAGGCCAAAGAAGAATTAATGGCTTTGAATTCTGATGTTGCCGAAGAATATTGAATATACTATGGACTGTCAGAAGAACGAACAAATCCATCTTCAAAGAAGTACAACCAGAATTCTCATTAGAGGCTAGGATGGCGAGACTTTGTCTCACATACTTTGGATATGTTATCAGGAGGGACCAGTCCCTGGTGAAGGACGAGATGGATTGACACAGTGGCTGCAACTATGAGCTCAAATATAGCAAGGATTGTGAGGATGGCTGTGAGTCGGAACCAACTCGATGGCACCTAGCAACAACAACAACATATATAGAATATATACGTGGAATATACATATGGATAATATATGCAGATATGATTCTGTTTTATTGGTCTACTTGTGTATCCATTTTGTCTTAATTATTGCAGTCCAGTTTATTTTCTTTTGTCATTTGTATTTTGGTGTCACATCTAAGAAACCATTGCCTAATTCAAAGTTATAAAGATTTATTCCTATGTTTTCTTTTAAGAGTTTTATAGTTATATAGGAAAGATGCTCAATTAGTCTTTAAAACCAAAAAAGCAGTTGCTGTTGAGTCAACTTCGAATGTTCAATTTAGTTAGTAGCTGAGTGGGTTAACCATTTGCATCATCCAGGGACTCCTAAAGGGCTTTTACCTACTATATTAGAAAAGCTTTTGCAGAGTGGTTCCATATCCATATTTTTCTCCTATGCCACAACTCAGCCCTTGTAAGTCACTTTTAAGTCACTGAACAGAAATAATGAGACTTCTGCTGGCTGTGCATTTATCACAAATACTTGAACTATTCAGGAAAATGCAGGGTGAACACAGAAGTAAAATACAGGCCACAAGCCCAAGTGGATAATGCACCAGCATCATTTACTCCCAACCTATAAGCATTCCTATGAAAATGTTACCTCGATTTTGTTTTATAGACCTACTCATCTCCAAAATACACAACACGATTCTCACAGTTCATGTTCTCACTTAACTGAGCCATTTTGTAACCTCTATTAGACTGTTATTTTAGCTATAGTTAATCTGTTCCCATAAGAGTTGTTCCAATTCCTTAGCCTTCCTGAACTCCTTATGTTCAACTGTTAGCTCCATTTCTTAGCTTAATTTTGGAGGACACCATTTAAAGCCCTTCAACTTCAATTCCATCTATTTATTGTCCACAGTCAAAACACAAAAATTTAAAATTTGAGATATATCACATACTGAAAAAATTTCTGATCTACCTACTTTGTAACCATTAAGTTCAAATACAATAACTTCTTGAACCACTGTTAGTTTCCAAGCCATGAGCCCTAGGAATTCCAGAACAGAAGACAATGAATGAGCCCCTTTAGCAAAAGTGACAAGAAAGTGCTAAATAAACTCATAAGGTTCTACTGCAGTTGGAGAAATTCAGAGAAAAGAAACATTAGATGGAAATTGGAAGAAATACAAGCCCAAGAACCTTATTTAGATGGCTACCTGTTTTATATACATGAAGCACCCTGTACACCACAGAATAGAAGTTGTGTTCATGTTATGGGGTGCCAAGAATTCAAGAATCAAAAGGAAATGGGAGGTTTAAATATTCAGTGTAAACACTAAAAGGAGGCAAGGGAGTTTCAAGAAGACCTAAGAACAGGGGGTATTGCCTTTACAAATATCTAAGTTTTTCATGGACAATGGATGTTTGAAAAGGTATCTGGGTGGCACATGTAGTTTGCGATTGGCTGCTAACCTAAAGGATGGTGGTTTGAGCCCACCCAGTGGCACCATGGGAGAAAGATCTGGCAATTTGCTTATGTAAAGATTACAGCTACGAAAACCTTATGGAGCAGTTCTACTCCACAACACATGGGGTCACCATATGTTGGAACCAACTCGATGGCAACAAGTTTGGGTTTGGTTTATGGGTGTTTGACAAATACTACTGAAAAACAGAATTCATTGCCTTCATTGGAAGTCACTGCAGTGCTTTCTTGGTTCTGAAGTTTACTTAATGTTTCATACTGGGTACTCTTTACTTTTAAACTAGCTAATGCCCCATAGATGGTATAGCTACTCCTTTATCATGCTTTCAGGCTATTGGTACAGAACTAACTGACTGAAGCTGAGGCCAAAAAATGGAGAATGTTACTAGAAGGAGCTTAACGAACAACAAAGCCAGAAAGCCAAGGCCTACAAAGCCAAATAGAGAAAGGCAAACATTAAGTGCTGAAGAGACATGAGATATAAGTTTTGGTGGGTTATTGGCAAAATCTAAGTCACTCAGAGTTGGAAAGAAATGTAGTCAAATTGACAAAATTCAAGATAACTGTGGTGTACCGATGGCTCATCTTTATCAGCTAATAAACCAACTAAAAAGGTAAACACCAAAGATGGCTACTAAGTTTAGCACAAAATACATAGTCAATGAATATTCAGTCTTCCGCCCACTTCCACCAACTGGATAATCCAAGAGGCTCTGTTCTTTAATTTATGTATAACCACTTAGCATTGAGCAAGTGAATGATTTACACCTATACCAGAATATGAGCTTTCATGTGTACGTACCTGATTACCATAAGCATATAGAAAATTACTTCGTGGATGGAATACCATTCCAATGGGAACAGAGAATGATGAAGGAAACAAGAAATTTGGAAATTTATTCTGTAAACTTGGTTGATTATTTTTTAGGATGTGCACAGAGGCAGTGGTTTTTTTCTAAAAATAGATAAACAAAGCATGAGTAGGTTACAGAAATTTTCCCAGTATTATTGTTAGTACAGTTAATTACTTGGTTTTTGATTAAGATAGGGACAAATCTATTAACACAGCATAGAGCTGAGAAGATTAGCAATCATTGCTATCGCATTACTCTGCCCCTCCCCCCACAAACACCCATTTTATGGGTGCTGAAAGTGAAGTTTAGGAGATTGAATACTTTTGTCTAAAGTTCTTTAACAAATGGCACAGAGAGACTTATTACAGAGTCATCACTTGAACTTGGCACACAGACTCCAGTGTCCATGCTCATAACTACCATGCCAAACTACTTTATAAAAATGTGGATACCTGAGCCTTGTCCCAGTCCTATTGGATCACGATCTTGAGGGTAGGGGCTAAATTTACATATTTTTGGAATGGCTCTAAGAATAATTCTAATTCACAGCTAGAGTTTATAGCCTTTGGAATGGAAAATATAGATCAGTGGCTATTAGTTTCAATTTTTGTTCACTTAAACTAACCACTTTATTGAACCTTAAATTTGTGTAGACCAAACTCAGTTCATATTCTTCTGGAGAATTAGCAAGGGAGAATAACTGTGCATACAGCATCATATTTTCCATTTTCATCAAACTGAATGACGGTCAGAGGCAACAAACCTCTAAAGTGTCCTAAACTATATCATTAATCATAAATAATTTTGCTGTAGCCAATTTCATCAGGTTCCATTGCCACAGACAACTAGAATGAAGAAATAACTTTTGCTAAGGTGAATTTTCTTTATTGTAGGACTTAGTGTCAAGAGCAATCACCTCTGGGATATAAGGCCTACCTGGTTAGAGAAAAGGTAAATTCCATTTGAACGCTCTATGTCAAGAAGAAACGTTATCACGTTTGAAGGAACATTTCTCACTCCTCTTAAAGCGTAAGGTATGCAAGGAAGCCATTCGAGGAATGGTTCTGTACTATAAAAACAGGAGCTTGCCTACAAAAAGGAAAGGAAAAATTAACACCACTGTCTTCTGGGGGATATGGGTCCAGAAAGCACTGCAAAGCATTTCTTTCTAGTATAGATTGTTTTTCTAGAAGCACTGTGTAGATACAGATTTTACATAATTAGGTAACAACCATTAAACCCAAGTAGAAACACCACTGGGTGCAAACAGTGATTGTTAAGCCTCTCAGTTTGCAGAATTGCCTTTTTTTTAAGACTAATAACAATCCATGAAATCATGCACAACAAAATTTCTTACCTTTTAAAATATTCAGTACCATACCTCACTTAGGGTCCTATTTCTGTCGAAGGTGATAGTAACATAATCAACTAAAAATATAAAGGTACAGAAATTACAAACACATCTATACTTCTAAAACCAGAAAGGTTAGTGTTACTAAAATAGACTGCACAAATAAAAATTCCAAAAGTTATGTACCATCAATTAATATGAACTTGAATACATTTTCTTGCAGTTAAAACAGGGTATGCCTATTAGATTTAAATTTAAAAAATTCTCAGTTATAGGCCATTAACTTATATTAAGTAAACCTATCTTTACATTTTATTTTATTTTTATTTTATGTCATTTTATTTAATCTATATATGTTATCTGTTGCTATCCATGAGGTTTTCAGACAATGTTCTGATAAGGCTATCATGGGCTAATTTTCGGAAGTAGATTGCCAGGCCTTAGACTAGACTGCCTTAGTCTGGAAGCTCTGCTGAAACCTCAATAGCCACAACAATGGGCTCAAATATATTAAAGATCATAAAGATGGCGCTGGACCAGGCAATGTTTCGTTCTGTTATATATAATGCCGCCATGAGTCAGAGCTGACTCAATACCAACAGCAACAACGTATATATTATTTGCATAGATAAAAGCCTGTTAATATATCTTTAAAATTCACCTTCAAATTTTTCTCTGTTAGCAAAACATCTTTCATTATACCACAATTTTCCTTTGATGTAGTCAGCCTATATAAATAAATGAAAATATCTATTAGGCAATATGTAGACTTACGATATAAAATAGAAAAAAAACATTAAAAAGTTAAAAGTTCAATAGTTTAGGCATGTGAGGCAAATAAAGAGACAAATTGTATGCAAATAAAATAAAAGGTTGTAGAATGAGGACAAGAAGCAGGAATATACATTTTGAACAACACACAAAAAGGAATAAAAAGAAAAGAAATGCCACATGAATTAGCTTATGTTAATGGACGATACCCCTGCTTATATCCTGTCTTTCTGAAGCTACCAGACATTCTCAGCCTTTCATCACAGCTGCAATGGGTCACATGTTTACCTTTCATTCCTCATTAGTTGCAACTAGCCTTGAGGGGTCTTCCCAGATGCCTGACAGCAGCGAGAAGCAAGAGGATTATTGTATTTTGTGCATATTTTTCATATGTGGACATCTCTTCAATTGAAATGTGTCAGAGTTTTATATGGTAACTTTTTTTCTTCTTTCTTAGTATTTCATGACATGACAACACATATGAAAATCAATGGCACATTAGAATCAATGAAACATGTTGTCACAAAGGTATAACTGAATCAATTTAACCTTCTAAATAGGGCAAAGTGCCTGAAGGGCATGCAGCCTCGTCTCTTTTAATCGCCTGTTCCCTGATTTGTAATCCAGGTTAACAATGGTTATGAGGAACACAGAGCGAGATACCATATGTGCTTAGCATAGTACTTGGCAGAGAAGACTGGGCTCTCTTATTATATAACATGCATTAAACCAAAAAGCCAAACCCATTGCCATCAAATCGATTCCGACTGATAGCAACCCTATAGGACAGAGTACAGCTGCCCCATACGGTTTCCAAGGAGCAGCTAGTGGATTTCAACTGCCAATCTTTCGGTTAGCAGCTGAACTCTTTTTTATTTTTTTATTTTTGTTGTACTTTAGGTGAAGGCTTATAGAACAAATAGTGTCTCATTAAACAGTCAGTACGCATATTATTTCATGACATTGGTTAACAACCACACAACATGTCAACACTCTCCCTTCTTGACCTTAGAGGACCTTTTTTTTTTT